AAAAAAAAAAAAAAAAAGGAAAAGCACGAACGGAGGAACGCGACGTGGTATTCAAATCGCTGACAGTCCGCGGGCCAATCAGCAAAGTACCCCTTCCTCTTCCGGTACCGAACCGACCATTCACAGAACTTCCCTTCGGAACTATTTGATTTTAACACTTCGTTTATTTCATCGGAACAACGTGTGTCTCTCCAAACTGCGCGCCGATCTTCCTCGATGCAGAGCAATTCGATTCGAGGTTCGAACTGTTATCTTTTATCTCGATCCCAGTGATAAGAAATTTGTTAGTTTGCGAATCATTTGTGACGTATTGACGAGAGAAAATGGAGCTTCAAGTAGGACTGAAGGTTAAATGATATTTGTGAGAATCTTAAACATTTCACATCTTGCATACATCAGTGCGATTTTCAACGTGTTATATATAAAGTATATAAAGTAGACTGATGTGAATTCATGCTCAATAATCTTATCTTGATGATTGTGACATTGAAATTAATCACGAAACTAAAAGAACGATAAGAACGTTTAATTAAACTCAAAATCTCGGAAATCTAACTTGCACTTGCGGTCCATTAATAACAATGAAATTGAAGTATTGCATTTCAAGAGAAGACACACAAAATCAGTTTATAATCGAAAGAAGCACTACACGTGGAACGTATGCTTTTCGACGACCGAGCAAACACAATTGAAACCCTGATCGAATCGGGCAACCCTTTCACATTGGCGAGCAATTCCGTTCTTTTTAGTTAAATGAAACGCTGGCTGCAGCGGCTCGTGAAAATATTGCGAAGGTATATATTCACTTCAACGTTTCATCGGGCTATTTTTTAACAATTATTCGCAGAAACATTTATTCGCAGAAACACTTCACTGAATAAAAATTTACAGCGAACGTTTCGTAACTTTCGTACGAGTTCCCAGACTGCGTCTCAAATTTTATCACAAATATATGATCACGAATATACAATACAGGATATTCCGGCAGAAGCGAAAAATTTATCGATCACTCACTAAATAATTAATTCGAATTAATTCCATGGAATAATTATTTTTTCAATTCTCCTTTTCGATATTCCTTCAACGCAATAAATCGAATCACATTCTTGAAATACACGTACGATGCGGGAATATATTCACGTTCGAATACTTTCGCGAGCCACTGCAGCGAATTTCACCTAAAGGAGACAGAATTCCTCCACTGATGGAAACGAACCCCCCTCTTTAAACGTCCGTGTTCACGCACTTGGAACTCTCGACTCGTTTACAATCGAAGCTCCCTGGCCGCCGAGGGAACTTGATTATCTCTCACACCGCGAAGACCCACGCTACCGCGTGCACTCGCTCGAGTAGTCGAAGATCCGACGACGGGGTGTCAAAGCGTGTTCACACAACATTCCTACGGACTAGGACGCATATCTCTACGCAGTTTTGCGTGTGGAGCGCAGCGTGTTTGAACGACGGAGAAACGAAAGGCAGCAGGGCGACTGGTTCACTCTCTAATCCTCTGTCTCGCTGCCGGTCGTCTCCTCCGTCCGCCTCCGCGTCTTCCTCCACCGCCGCCTGTTCCACTGACACCGACGTCGGTGTCGTCGTCGACGAACTCTTCCCCTTCTACCCAACCAGCTTGCTTCCCGTCTTCGCGTGTCGCCGAGGATACGCGATATTTTTGTATCCCCGTCGCGGAGGCGGTCGCCGCAGGTCTACGCGGAGGCGGGACGGAAATCGCGTATGTACGAGGTGACGAGGCCTCGAAGAACCGGACGCAGCCCTCGAACCCCCTTGTTACCTTTCCCGGCAAATGTTGAATCTATCACGCTGCATTGCTGATGATGGCCTTTGAACTTTTTCTTTATTTTCTTCTTCTTCTTTTTTTTAGTATGATCATCTCCTTTGAAGGAGTAGGTTAGGGGTGAATCGAGATGCGGGAGATGGAGGATGGAATTTTTAATACGCCAGCGTGATTCTTCGTTTCTTCCGGTGACACGACAGTTGCCAGTCAGGGAATATCTAAGAACGGGAGGCAATATCTAGAAATTGATAATCACATTTCTTGTATTTTAATGTACAAAGCATTCAAAGTGTACAATGTGGCTCGGTGCACTAGTGTAACTCGCAATATTGTACACGAATTTCGAATTGACTAATAATTCGCCAACGCGTCCTGTACACGGGTCATTTCTGATTGGTTATTAACAGTAGCCGGCGGCATGACCATTAGGAGGATTCGGTTGGCCATCAAAGGGATTTGTTACTTCGATGTCAATGGACATTCTCCATTCCCCATGGCCCTAATTAGCGCGTGAAACAGCTGCGCCTGATTTGCATTATTGAACAATAATTCTACTCAACATCGAAATTCCCGATAGCTATTCAGCCACGTAAGAGAACGTAGCTTTGTGCAAAAGCGCGTCCCTTTTCCCTTTGATTGTCTATGATTATATATTTCGATGCAAAAAGAAAGAAGAAGAAATTGTAATTTCTACTCGCTTGCACTTTATCTTTCGACGTTGAGATCAGAGATTTTATATGCGATAAGAAAGCAACCGATTTGCTATGATTCGATACGAGAATGTGGGACAAAGATAAAGAGATAAGGAGTTTTCCATCTTTGTTAAAAGCAAAATCCGAGTGCAAAGATCTCGAGATGAGAAATTTATGCGAAAAAAAAGAAAAAAACACCGTCAAGACGTAGAGGAGTGATTACCAACGAGATTGTGATTAAAGTGTTATCATCATTTATTTATTTCACTGATTCATGACAAAGTAATAATCACATAAAGCTGTTAAAAGTAAAACCCCCGGTTATCACTAAATCGTGTATTGTATTTACAAGTATTAATTAATTATAGTTCGCGTCGAATGCGACGCGCTCATCATCGTTTCACATTTTTTTAAATTTTATTATTACTTTTTTTTTTTCCTCTTCTCTCATTCGCCTGTCCTCTCCTCACTCCCCGACCAACGATAAATATATAATATATATAATTTTTGTTTCTTTCACATCATTTTACCGGCGTCACTGTCTGTTATCGCTCTGCTTACAAAAATTAGATAAGTAAAGCTAAAAAACTGTTTTCTATCTTTTCTTCTTCATCTATCTTCCTCGATTCTTTGACAAAAGAAGCGCACGTAGAAATTGTCGCTCGTTTTTTTTATTTCATTATTTCTTTTTTTCTTTTTTTTCTTTTTTCTTTGTTCATTCTCGTTACTCACACTATCAATCATTTTCACAC